GGGGAAGTTGTTGCGCATCGGGTGCTCAGCCTGTTGATATTAAATATAAAAGATGTGGACATCGAATGGATTTGAATAATCAAGAAGTTACAAAAACATTTTTAGAGCTATTAAATTCACAGCTCGTTTTTATTAACAAAACTATTTTGAATAAACCTACTTAATATTTCATTTTCGTTTTGTCTAGCAGAAAAAAATTATTTATCTTAATAAGATTATTTTGTGTAAAATATTTGATCCGAAGAATTCGAAATCCGATAACGATAATTGGTTCCATCAAAAGAGGTTGTAACATAACGAATGAATACTTTTCATGGCGCCATATTTAATTAAATCCAAAATTCGAGAACGACGTATTTGCAAGTAACAGGATCTGTGATTTCGACTAAAATCCCGTGAGTTGCAATAAAAGAATCATAGTTAACTGATTGTCGTAGGGTAGATTGAAGGACATGAATCATGTCCTCAATGGCACTCCTTCAGAAATCACTGAAAGGAAGATGACCACGAATGCAACACAAGTTGAACATAGAAATACATTAACTCAACCTTTAACAATTGTCGAGAATTTCTGACATCAGTTTATTCTATTTGAACAACGTGTGTAAATTAGATTGAACATACGGTGCTATTAGCTTCTTATACGACTAGGATTTCCTGAAAAAAAGAGTCGACTTTCACTCAACAAAGCCTCCCTTTATATTTTAAGTCATGAGCAAACTAAATTTTTTTTTGCGTTCTGATCGCATCATTGGTACTTCTAAACAGAAGTCTTTCATTTAAATTAATACGGGTATTAATACCGTGAATCTATATTGATCACATACAAGGAGAATAAAAGACAACGAATGGTAAATAAGTGATAAGCATTCTTTTTTTTCTCTTTAGTAAAGATGAAAATCTGTCGTCGATGTCGTTATATTTCTAATATATATCTCAAATTTCTTCTGATCATATTGAGTTTATGTCTTATATTAAATCTAGTCAGCAAAGGTGGATTCAATACAGAAATTTTCCATGTGGAATCGGCAGTTAATTCAGCAATAATAGTGCTCGATAAGAATTATTCCAATAAAACATTTATATCCTGTCAATATCCCAAATTAACCATCGATAATCCTCAAATCTTAAAATATCTGAAGCCTGTTAAAGAATCTCGACCGGAATGTGACGATGAAGTCAATTGGATTTACACGAAAAATAGTTCGTTTAATTTTGATTTTCTTCCAATTGAATAGAGTCGTTTAGGTACATTTTATATTCGCGACGAGGCGATCAAAGTTCATGGTTCGATTCAATGTGGTTACACCGGCCGATAACTCGCGCAAAAGATGATTTCAATAAAAGTGTAGGAGAACGAATCTTTCCATTTGAGAGCCATCGATCGTTGGTATCGGACTTTTTTCATGTGGATTGTCAAGCTCAAGATGGATCGAAATATGAGAATTATCATATGGGGATAAAATACAATTCATCATTGCTGATAAAGTTTGTTTTTGAAGATCAATGGAGGAGAATTCGTTTTTTCTTCTTTTAGGAATTTCGAATCTCCGATGAAATCAACGAGCTTGGATTATAATGTTCTCATGTTTGGTTTTGATTCGACATCTCGAATGACTTTTATGAGATTTTTACCGAAAACCTACTCGTTTCTGGTCAATGAACTCGGTGCGATCGTGATGAAAGGTACATTTTATTCAATTTACTCACTTTTTTATTGAAACTCTTTTCAAGGATATAACATCGTTGGCGACGGAACACCAGCTGCGCTCTTTCCTATCCTCACAGGACAAACAGAACGGGAACTACCGGAATCGAGAAGAGGATATCCCAACGCCACAACAGTCGATGATTTTCCTTGGATTTGGAATGATTTTAAAAGTAAATCGATGATAGAAGCTCAAAATCATT